CCCAATTCTCAACCAATATTAGCTCCTTGTGGATATCGATCCCGACCTTTCGGGTAAAAGCTGCATCGACCACTCCTTGCCATTATATAGTGGTGTAGGGTTGGAGCCGATCAGGCGCCAACCAAAATAATGAAAATACCTTTTGAGGGAAGGGCCGATTTGAACTTCTGAAAATAGCTCTGCCAATCGCATATCCCCACAGTGCAGAGGAGAACTTATTTAACCCAATCAGCGGAGATACATCACCAACTGAAGAGGTCAACCAGTAGCTGTAGAAAAAGAAGGATTATTCGTCAAGCTCGGAATGAACAAATATTTGAAAAGGTAGAAGCAATAGCGCAAGTACTTACGAGTGTGGTTCCAGGCCCCAGGGAAACCTGTCACATCGGCCACGACGACCTCAGTCTTGAAAAAGAAATAGTCGAGCCAGAATTGCCGACTACCTTTATCATTCATTTTTACTACCAAGCATTTTCTCCCACGATGTCGAAGGTTCAACATCGTTCCTCGATAAAAGATGGGCATGAATAGATGCACCAAATGCCGTAATCTTACCTCGACTCCAGCCAGTTCAGAAAACTTTGATAGCATCTTGGTCACCTAATAAACATAGAGGGCAAGCTGAGCGGGGGAAACCTTATAATGACGATAAAACTCCTCCACCAGCAAAAGGAGGGGGAACAAGTAGCTGATGGTGAACGGGTAGGTAAAAAGAGCACAGTACCCAGGACGGTGGGCGTGTACTTCATCGTTGTCAGCAGGAATTAGCTACACGTGGTCGGAAGGCCATATTTGTCTTTGAACTCAGTTAAGCGCTTTGCTGTCATCGAAGATTGGAATTTCTCAGTCATCACCTCTGGCAGTCGTTAAAGATCAAGTTTAGCATCAGGGCTTCGGGGATGATCTCCTCCACTGACGGGAGAGCCTCATCTTCAGCGGCGAAGATAGTGTCTTCCCTATGAACGGGAAATACAACAGCCAATAGAATGGCCTAGTTTTCTTCAATTACATCAGAAGGGATGTTCGACCTGGCTATAGAAGCTGAGAAAAGTTAGAAGAGGAAAATTGGAAGTATGAAGAAAAGATGTAAGGTTAGCAAGGGAAGAGAACTCGAAGATGATTCTAAAGAAGGTAAAACTTGAGTTTTAGTAAAACAAGCCCTGTTTATAGAGAAGAGGCACCGAACCCGAAATGATTCATCATGATTGCCACTAGAATCGAAATGGCAAAACCAATCAAGAGCCACGTGTGTATCGATACGAAGCATCGGGAACAGACGTCATCATGACGAATGACGTCATAACGTCACATCTTTTCCTTGACAAGATAGTTCCATTAAATCACCCGGGAAGATTAAGATTTTGAAACATGCGGTCCGCGAAATGCCACATCACCCATTTTTACAATGACCACGACCACTGTTATCCGCTTATTGAACTCGCCCACGAGGATGACCTCAACAAGCGGAGAGACTAACTGTATGGGCAAAAAATATCATGTTATATGTGGACCGAGTCAACATAAAGGAAGCCTTCGGAGGCTGCCACGTGTCGCCAATAAGATACAATGACCTGTCCTCAAAGGGTCAAAGTCCAGAGAAGACAACATGTCGTCGACGAGGGAGAAGTTACTCAAGAGGGGACGAAGACGAGGACGAGCACTCCTTCTTGGAAAATAGTAACGACTAGTTCTAGGATTACTATTCCCTAGAGAATATTCTAGTGAATATTCCCCCAGTTGTACTATCTAGGATTTTGTATCCATGTATCCTAATAAATAGTATGTAGTTATAGAGGGAAGGGGATATTCATTGTAAAGAACAACAAATTGACATTCTCTGAAGATTCTCCCTTTTATCATATATATACAAAGTCCACTTTTTAACATTTTTATCTATCTTTTCTTCCCCGATTCAAGAAGGATCCGAATATCAAAGACTTATCATTATCCATCCTTGTCAAAAGAATTATTTGAGAATCTCACCTTTTTTCGGGTGACTTCTATCCATTTATGTACTTGAATACTATTTATTGTTATTTATTGCCATCTTCCATATTTGTGAATCGTTACACCATTATTGCTATCATTTATTTCTATTCAACAGTACACGTGGGGATATCTTCAATATATACACTTGGTCTATCTTTTGAATATTAATATTGGCTAAGATTAACTCTATTTTATTATAAATTTGATTGTATAAATCAAGATCTAAATTTTGGGTCATACAATAACATTTATGTATTTTTCAGCCTTTTACAAAACCTAGTTTGTTAAAAGACTTGTTTTATATATTTCCAATGATATAAAGATATATCGAAGTCGAAAAAGGAGGAATTATAGTTAGGAAATTGAATCTTCTAAGTAATTCCTTTTGCTTAGACATGATCAGAAAGTAATAGTAGTTCAGTTGTAATTGTTCCAAAAACGAATATATACAATACAATAAATGTAAACTTCAATTGGTTCCTGAAACCCTAATCAATGCATTCATAAAGATTAGAGAGTACTTCTTACGTTCTTTCTCTTTTCTTGTGCACTTCCATCTTTCCATCACACAGAAAATTACATGAGTTAAAATCACTCTGTTCATTGACTTTTCTAGATATTTTTTCCCCACTTAATCTCCAACTAAATTTTTTCACCACTTGATACTCGAGTAACTAAAAGGAATTTTTACCTCCTATAGCAAAGGTTAACACTTTATTTATTTTAAATAAATACCATTTAAAAAAATTATATTCTATAGATACCTTTTAATGTTTATAGCAAAATATCTAATTTTGGTTACCTCATACCCCTAAGTCACTAAATACGCTATTCAGTTACACTATTTTCTTTCTCTCTCTACTTTGATACATGCCGTTCTCTTCCCGCATTCCCTGAAAATACGATGCTCAATATCAAAATTCCTCTCACCCACATCACCTACCATTAGTCTCAAACGGTGATTTTGCCTGGTATACCACGAAGACTTCTCTGACTTTTCCCCTCAATTTTGTGCAACCCAAATGGAATCCAAAGGAGATGAAGCCTCCGATCGGCGCGCACAACACAGCAAACCCACGAACCTTTCTCAACTTCCCTCATCTTCAAGATATTGAAATTGGGGAATTTCTTTGGATTAGAGCAGCAGTAAGTGATTGAGGTGATAAACCGAATCTTCTGAGCAAATAAGCAGATGCTTATCATTTGATTAAATCCGGAATTGAATTAAATTTCCTAAAACCCTAAAACCTTTTAAGGAACACGGGTCGGTCGGAGTGTCAAGAGACAGTATCCAGGGTTTTTGCTCGGCGGCGGATTCGCCGGAAATTAGGGTTTGTTCTTGAACCAAGACGACGGAGTTTGGGGTCGAGCAACTTGATTTTCTGTTAATATATTTTAATGTATTTTCAGCGTATCACGCTGTATTTTCATGTATTTCATTGTATTCATTGTCTTTTTTTCATTATAATTCAATGTATCTCGTTGTATTCCATGTATTTCATTGTATTCACTGTCTTTTTTTTCATTGTATTTCAATGTATCTCGCTGTATTCTATGTATTTCATTGTATTCACTGTCTCTCTATATTCCATGCATGTATTCATATATTTTTTTTAATTAATATAATTTATGTATTCAGATGTATTATATAATTTCTCTGAAGATTGCTATTTTTTGGGGGTATTTTTCGATTGAGAATCTTTTTTATAAATGGAAATACAAAATTTGTGTGTTATAATTGAGTTTGTTAGTTATATTAGGAGTCTATTATGTTTATTGATTCACTTTCCGTTTAAAAAAAATATAATCCCCTGTTTCACGCCGTGAATACAGTCGAATACAATAATCTGTCCAGCTGTAACCCCATGTTTCACGCCATGAATACAGTCGAATACACTCGAATATAACAACTGATTAGCTGGAATTCCCTTATTCACGCCTATTTTTGCTACTGTATTCATGAATACAGTAGCTTAAATACATCTAATACATCTTATAACAATAGAAAACGTATCTACAGTCCGTAATATAGCAAATGGTATCTATAGATAGCTAATTACCACTAAAAGATAGTGCTTTATGAAAATTTCTCTAACTAAAATAATATACAACCCAATGTACGGAGACGGATCTAGGATTTTTATAGCATGGGTGTACCACTAAACAAAGGAGAAAAAGAAAGTACTAAGTGGGAATTGATCCCTACTCTTCTAGTCTAGGTAAATATCTTAGCATTTAATCAAGTGCACCATTTAGGCTCTTTGGAGCATGAGTACCAACAAATAATATTAGATCAATTCTAGAAAATATGTACATAAAAAACCTAGTTTGACGGAGAAACCATGAGTTTACGTGCCCCATATATTGAGCTATAAATCCGCCCCTAGCGTACGTACATGCATGCAACAGCAAAACCATGGTCAGGACCTTGAAAGAAGAAGAACACACTCTCCACCCCACCCACCTCCAAAAGGAAAGAACAAAGGAGAGAACATCTTTTCGGCATACAAGAATTTAGGGGTGTCAAATGGGCGGGTTGGGTCGATTTTGGGCGGGTCAAAACGGGCTAAGTTAATAATTGGACGGGTCAAATAACCCATCTAAAAGTTACTTAGGCTAATATGGGCTAGGTCAAGATGGCTAAAATTTGGGTTATAGCCCAACCCGTCCAACTCTTATCAAATTTTACTTAATATGTGTTGTTTTCTTATGAATTGTATGATTACTACATAAGATTTTTTCTTTTGTTATGGTCATATATAATATATTAAATAAAAAAAAGAAATTCTAAGATATTTTGGCAAAGTTACTCATGAATCAATATTTTGGGCTAAACATTAGCTCAACTTTAAATGAGTTGGGTCAAGATGAGCTAAATTCAATAAATAGGCGGGTCAATAACCAGCCAAACTTTGAGCGAGTTGGGCAGATCATTTGGTCTTGAGCCAAATTTGACAGCTACAAGAACTATATATTACTAAATTGAAGTTGTAACTTGCAGGACAATCATGAAATAGAAGCTACCATCTTAAGGCCAGGATCTATTATCTCTCTAGACAGCTCCTCGTCTAACAATCAAGAACAAGAGAGATACAACACTTGCATTCAAGAAAACCAACCCTAAGATAGAGGCTCAATATGATGAGTTAATCGAAGTTCTGAGGGAGACTGAAAGGCGCAAATTGAGCTAAAATATCTTAGCTTGTTTATTGCTCCATGCATTTTTTTAACAACTTTTCACCATACTTGAACTCCAATTAACACCATTATTGTTATTTAATCTTGATTGATTATTCCCCAAGATTGTCTCAAGTTCACTTGGCCTGCATGGTAATGTAAGTGCACCTTCATGATCAAAACCATACTCCTCAGCAGCTTGTTCCAAAAGCATCAAAAATGAAGGGTGTGTTAAACAGCTCAATGGCACCACAAATCTCTTCTTCAAATACTCATCTTCATCAACTGCAATTACTGCAAAATGCCCTTCTTTAACATCTTCTGGAACGTTACATGAACGCGGAATACTTCGTGCACTGGACTGTCCTTTTTTTTCCTGACCATGATCAAACTCTGCTGCAAGTTTCTTCACCAATGAAAGACTCCTTTGTAACTTCTCCACCACTATTTTTAGATTCACTATCTTGTTCTTTTTCTTCCCATTGGTTCTAGCATTTGCCATTATGATAAAACAATAAAATATTATATTTTTTCTTTGATATTTTGATGCTAGGGCTGGAGGCTTTTGTAGGGTTTTCTTTTGTGTGCTTTTTCTAAGTATGTTACATAGCTTATATATAGTGTACGAGTAAGAAGGCAGAGTTGAGAGATAAGGTCGAAAAATGGACTTAGTTGGACCAACTTTGGTGTAAATATGGGGAGACCGAAGCATGTGAATGAAGTCCTATGAAACGTCCTCTCAAACCAGTCAACACATAATTGGAACTACATGTAGGTCCTAATATATACCTCCAATTGTATATTGAGACTAGTTTTTCAGTTTCCCTATTCAGCCATTTTTCTCTTTAGTACGAAATCTTTCTTTCCTACTTATTAATTGGTTCTTGCTTAATTAATCACTTTCAGCAGTGGCGGAGACGTACTTTAACAACATTTTCTTAAAAGAATTAGGGATCTTTACAAAAATATCTGGTTAGATATTCATAGATGATATGTTTTAGTTGGTATACATGAATTATATACTGATTATATATAATTATACATATTATACATAAATTATACATACATGTGCCGGTTATTTTTAGTTTAAGCTTGTAGGTGTACATATTATAGGAGACCAATTTTTGACACAGATTCGACCTAAGGAGGCAGAGACACAATAGGAGCAAGGCGGGGAATTCTTCTACGAGTTTTTCCTTCCTCTTCCTATTTTTCATTGTTGGTTATGACTTTTAGTATTGTAGTTTTACATACTACTATGAATAGCTAATTTGTTATCTAGGGTTTTGATGGAACCTTTTGTAGGATAAATTCTTGTTATGTTTTTATATAATTGAGCCGTAGTATTTTCTCTATTTGTTCAACTATATTATTCTTGTGGTTGATTGAAGGGCCCTCAATTAGTTGTGCCTATTTAGTATGTATTACTCGGGAGAGAGTGCATATTTAGGTAGTTGTTGAACAACATCACTCCCGACGTATGTGAAGAATCAATAACCAAGGGTTTAAAGGTGGGATTAGGGATAACGAAACCTTGGGTGCGATCTAAGTGAGCTGTAATTAAAGCCAGCTAGCGTAACTCGGGAGAGTATGTCTAGTAAATTGTCGTAATTACTCGGGAGAGAATTACAACACGCAGAGCGCTCATGATCGTAAAGAATACTTAGGCAAAATTATAGAAGACATAGCGGGAAGGATTCCGACAATCGGGGAAATCATAACTCTAGACCTCCTTAATCTTTTCTCCAACCTGTAGTATCTCTAGTGTTAATTTATTATTTTAATTTGTTAGTTAGTTAGTTAGTTAAACACAAGAATCTTAATATCTATAAGTTAGGAATTGTTAAAGCTTGTATTCTTGGTGATGGTGAACAACTGTAGCTAAGCCTTAGTTCTGTGTGGGATTCGACTCCGGACTTTTAGACCGGATTATATTTGCAGCGACCGTTTATCCTTTTTAGGATGAGAGTTGGGCGTGATCAAATTTTGGCGCCGTTGCCGGGGAACTAACGGTGTAGTTGTAGGTGTACATATTGCTAGGTTTCAAGTTTGAACTTTTATTTTTATTTTTTGTATTTGTTTTTTTTGTTTTAATTATTAATTTGAGAAATATGGCATCTTGGAATTATGAGAGTTTTGATGTTGGTAATTCTACTTTTGATCCTTCTTATGCGTTTAGTGGAGGAAACCACCCTGGGCAAAATTATCAAAATATTCCCGAGAGCGAGTTATGTGCACCAACTCAATCTTATGTATGGAATGTGTGCGATATGTGTGGTGGTCAAAATGGTCACTTTTATGGTTGTGCTTATATTTCTTATCTTCCCCCAACCCCTTACTATGATGGTTCTACCTTTTCTTGTGAAGTTAACAGGAACAAAGAACATGGGGATGCAGACCTGAAGGAGATCAAGGATATGTTAAAGTGCCTTCTGAAACAAAATACTGAAAAACAATTGCAGATAGAAAGGCAAGAGGCAACTATTCGCAAGTTGGAGGCTCAATTGAGTCAAGTGGTTGGAGCTTTTAATGCTCAACAAGCCAATATTGAGGATAGTAGCCAAGGAGAGCATGAATTTGAGGTGTTAATTTGGGAGGTCAGAGTAGAACATCAACAACCTAGCCAACTACAATTTGAAGATGTCAACATTGAAGAAGTGAGACTAGAGCCAGCCAAGGACTTTGAGGGTATAAATTTTGTTGACTCTAGTATCATTGATGTTGAGGATGCTGAAAGTCCTGAAGTTCATGTGTGTGAGCGCATTGGTCCTCACTCCAAACATTTTTCTACATTGTGCTTGGATGACGATATGAAAATAGAGTCATCCAAACCGATTGAGAAGTCAAGGAATGAGGAAAAAGGGGCCTACATTCTGAAATTTTTCTTGCCAGAAAGACAGGACTACATACCACATCGAAAAGCCAAGAAGTGTAGAATAGTACAATGGTTACTTGGGCTAATTATATTTGTTCCTCCACCCCTGGAGCATAGCCGAAAACGTGATGTCATATTGGGGGTTCAATTCATAAGCTCGAGGTGGAGGAAAAAAGTGACTCGCGTCGTGCCGCGACGTTAAATCAAGCGTTTGCTGGGAGGCAACCCAGCTTTATTGATTTCTTTTATTTTTTTCTATTTCTCTAATTGTATTATGTTTGTAGTGTCGATTTTTTATACAGGAGCATGGAAAGCAAAGCTATTGGAAGAATGCAACAGCAAACCAGATGGTTGGAACTAAGTGTGAGGTACCCACACGAAGGACCAAGCCTGGAAGAAGTCTGAGTACCCCATGAATTGTTAGTGCTTCGGCCTTTGGCCTACCAGGGAGTCTCTTTTACCCTTGTATTAGTTATGGTGTGCATTGGGGACAATGCACAATTTTAAGTGTGGGGTGAGGAGATTGTTTGGGTGACTTTTCATGCTACTTTAGCTGTGTTAGTTTAATTAAATATTTTTTTTAAATATTGGACTTTTCCCGACAATGGATCTATTAGACAATTTTCTTGAGGGATTTAAGTCTAAAGAAAAAAAAACAAAAAGATTTTTTTGTTAGGTAGTGTAGCAATTACCCCTTGGTTTTTCTTTGTGTCGCGGTTCTTTTTCAAGGGTTTTGTTTGAACCAGGTGTAGATAGTTTTTTTTTGGGGAGTAGGAGCCATTGTGTTATGTTTTGAATTGAAGCAATATCTCTTGACTTTGTTATGCCTTGAGAATAGTGAGTCCTTTGGTTGTGACACTTAGGCTCAGTTTTTGACTCTTGTATAAGTACGTTAAATTGTATGTTCTTAACTTTGCTCAACTGCTTTGACTAGAGTGTCTGGGTGATCCAATCTTGAGTGAGTCATGTGCCATGTGTGTGTGAGGTTTGGGTGTTATTCTGTGCATTGCATTTGATGCCTAGAACTTGCCCCGTGTGTTTGCAAAGCGAAATAGTAGTTTTGTTCAGTCTTGGAAGTGATATAGGCGTTTCTTTGTTGAGCCAGATATGTATATTTTACCCGCCTAATTGTTATGTATCGTAGTTAACCCCTTTGAGCCTGTAATCCTATTTCTTTGGCAATCACATTACAAGTCTTACCCATTTGTTTGAATTAACCATCTCTTTGAACCTTCTAACCTCTCATGAGCACTTGAATTGTTATGAACTTTTTAAAATTAAAATTGTGGGGTGGTTGGTTTGGCTTTTGAGTGGAACTAATGAAATAAGGAGAAAGGTGCATTGTTTTGAAAAAAGTAAGAGCCACTTGAATTGAAAAAAAAATAGTTGGATTGTTGAAAAAAAATCCTTGATAAGTGGTGGCTCTTGATGTAAGTGTGCTAAAAGAAGAATGGGGTAATATACACTGATGTGAAGGTGGAGTTTGGTTTGACATAAGCATGTGGTTTGAATGTTAAAGTATATGTATTAAAGTGCTTAGGGAGGTGTAGTCACTCTTATATCTAATGTAGCCTACCCGTCCCGCAGCCTACATTACAACCAAATAAAGTCCTAATTGATCCTAGATTGAATGAGCTCGACTAGTGGAGTAGTACACTACGGGCAAGCTTATGGTGCATCTTTTGTGGCATATGAATGTTATTTTTGAGAGTGAGTGAATTCTTTCTATCTTGAGTTCCTAAGTGTTCTTAAATTTTATTGTGTGGAACTACTCTCTTTTGTTGTGTGAGGACACTTGATTCATGAAGGAAAGGTAATGTCAGTGACCTCTATGTTAGAGTAAGTGGGTGAGTTGTGAATAATGCGTGGTACTTGTGAGTCAAATCTTGAGGTGAAGATGTTACGCTTTTGTGCTTAGTCTATTTTAAATATTCTTGGTGTGATGAGTTAGGAGAATTGTTTAAAAAAAAAGGTCGTGTCTATATAAAGTGTAGTTTGATTGCTCGAGGACGAGCAATGGTTTAAGTGTGGGGTGTTGATGATAGGCTATAATTACGTATTTTAGTCGCTTATTATACTCAAATTTACTGCACTTTAATTGAGTTTGAGCTTTAATCGCTAGTGTTTTGCACTAATGGTGTGTTTTATGCCTTGTAGGAGTGATTCCGAGCTATGTAGATGTTATAAAATGAATACAAGTGATTTGAAGCTTTGAAGTCTGAGTAAAAGCTCATGGAATTAAGCCGGGGTCGTGTTCGGGGGTCAACGGATGATAGTTGGAACAAACGAAGAATCGAGTAGGCATATTGCACACTGTCTAGTCAAATGTACATTACTTTTTGCTCAGAACTCCATTTGGATTCCACAACATATGGTTGGAAAGATAACTCAAAGGGCTATAACTTTCATGTTTTACGTTTTTCTAAATTCCAAACGGAACAGGGTGAAAAATGCAGTCGCAACCGCGATCGCGAACCTGGTCGCGAACTGAGGCAATGCACTGGTTAATATGCGCGGCCACTAGCGCGCTCACGAGCGCGGCCGCGCTAGTCCAGGCCTGGAAACTTGTCCCTTTTCACATTGGAGAAGGTATAATTATTATTGCCCAACCCTACTTGGTTATATACATGGAAAAATGGTATTTTGAGGGAGTTGGACATAATTTAGACCTAA